AAAAAAAAAAAAAAAAAATTCCCGGGATGAGAGAGGCGGAACGGGAGGGCCCCAGGGAGCGGCTGCCGGAGGCCGAGCTTACCCCGAGTGTGTCCCAGCCGCTCCCGGATCCCTCCTGCTTCCAGCGGGGCCCGCTCCTGCCGCGGTGAGGGGGGAGAGGAGGCGGCTTCAGGCCTGCGAGCGTTCGGCCAGCCCCGCCATAGCCCCGGGGAAAGCGGCTGGGGATGGCCCTGATCCTAAAAATCCTGCTCCGAAATGGTCCCTGACCCCAAAAACGCTGCTCTGGAGTGGCCCCCCTGGTCCCAAAAATGCAGCTCGGCAGTGGTTGCTGAGGCGGGGGATGCCGGCTGGGAATGGTCGGCGATCCCGGAAATCCTGTTCTGAAATGGCCCCTGCGCCCTGGAATGGCCTCTGAGCCGGGGGATGCGATCGGGAACGGTGGCGAGCAGAAAAAATCCCGCTCTGGACTGGCCCTGAGCACAAAAATCACGGTCTGGAGTGGCCCTGAGCACAAAAATCCCGCTCTGGAGTGGCCCTGAGCACAAAAATCCCGCTCTGGACTGGCCCTGAGCACAAAAATCCCGCTCTGGAATGGCCCTGAGCACAAAAATCCCGCTCTGGAGTGGCTCTGAGCACAAAAATCCCGCTCTGGAGTGGTCTCTGATCCTAAAAATCCCGCTCTGGAGTGGCCCTGAGCACAAAAATCCCGCTCTGGAATGGCCCTGAGCACAAAAATCACGGTCTGGAATGGCTCTGAGCACAAAAATCCCGCTCTGGAATGGCCCTGAGCACAAAAATCCCGCTCTGGAGTGGCTCTGAGCACAAAAATCACGGTCTGGAATGGTCTCTGATCCTAAAAATCCCGCTCTGGAGTGGCTCTGAGCACAAAAATCCCGGTCTGGAATGGTCCCTAATCCCAAAAATCCCGCTCTGGAATGGTCCCTAATCCTAAAAATCCCGCTCTGGAGTGGCCCTGAGCACAAAAATCCCGCTCTGGAATGGTCTCTGATCCTAAAAATCCCGCTCTGGAATGGCCTCTGAGCACAAAAATCCCGGTCTGGAGTGGCCCTGAGCACAAAAATCACGGTCTGGAGTGGCCCTGAGCACAAAAATCACGGTCTGGAATGGTCCCTAATCCTAAAAATCCCGGTCTGGAATGGTCTCTGATCCCAAAAATCCCGGTCTGGAGTGGCTCTGAGCACAAAAATCCCGCTCTGGAATGGCTCTGAGCACAGAAATCCCGGTCTGGAATGGTCTCTGATCTCAAAAATCCTGCTTTGCTAGCTCTGATCCCCAAAATCCTGCTCTGAAATGGTCCCTAATCCCCAAAATCCTGCTCTGGAGTGGTCCCTAATCCTAAAAATCCTGCTCTGGAAT